CCTGGAGCATTGGATGGCACCTTGAGGGGCATCATTTTGCCTTGAGCAAAGCATGGAGCCGTTGGACGCAGCCGGCTCAGCTCTTCCCGCGTCGTAGCCTGCTTCTCCCTCGGACTGATGCTGCTAGACAAAGGGCTGCCGGCCTGCGCATGCACGCAGACGTTGTTGGACGCTCCTTCCAGCGCCGGCGGAGCAGATTGAAAGCAATTGCGATGTAAAGGCTGAATGGCATGATCTGCAAGCCGCAGCTTCAGACTCGGTAGCGCAGCGAGCTGACCTTTTGAGTCGGAAGCTTTGTCTAGCGCTGGGGTTCAATTCAATGGCGCAGTATTGGTCTAGCATTTGCTGCAGGAGCTTGCATGTCGGGGAAGCGCCGAAATGACGCTAGACTTGCGGCTTGAAATGACAGGGCGCAGGCGCTGCTCAGATGCCAGCGATATGGAATTACTCTTGCCCAGCAGGTGTTGTTAAAGCCAGCCGGACTGGCGGTGCTCAGAGCTTTAGCGCTTGATGCTTCGCCTTGCAACACTGGCAGCGACGCAGCGTCCCAGCCATACTGCATGCTGCTTGTCCGGTGTGACGGTTGCTGGAGGAAGCTGCAGTGCTTCGGCAACTGCTTGTGCTTCTTCTCGCTTGGATGTTCCCTGCCCTTGCGCTTCCAAGGCTGGCGCAGGATGAGGTTCAATTCAATGCGCAGTTTTGGTCTAGCGTTTGCTTCAGTGGCTAACTTCGCATCAAGAAAGCTGGCAGGTTGCGTTTTGAGCTGCCTGGATGGCTGTGACTTGGAATGACCTTTCCATTCGCCAGCGTTGCCGAAGCTGGCCGGTCTGGCTTCGCGTCTTGCTTTGCCCGGAACTTCGTGGTAAGTTCAGGCTCAAAACTGCTTTGGTTGGCGTACGCAGCCCTGCTGGCCGGCACCTTCTCTCAGACGTTTTTGAGTTGGACCCTTGACTTAAGCAAGCCAGAGCTGCGCCGGAAACATGTGTCTTGTAACGCCATGTGGCTTTGTAAGGTCCTTTGTGTATGCGCACGTGCGACCTTGTTCAATGCGGCGCTTGACTTAAGCAAGGCACCTCTGGGCCAAACCAATTTGGCCGTGCCCTTCGCGGCAAGTTGCAGCTTGAGATTGCTCGTCTGGTTGGCGCACGCAGTGCTTAGAGCTTTTGCGTTTGATGCTTGGCGTGGGCAGCGCCGCAGCTTCTGCTTGTCCAGCGTGAAGGTTGCTGGAGGAAGCTGCAGTCTTTCGGCAATTCAATTCAAGGCTGGCGCAGGTTGAGGTTCAATTCAATGTGCAGTTTTTGTCTAGCATTTGCTCCATGGCTGGCTTCGAAGACGCTTGCTTTGCAGCAACGGCAGCGTTGCAACTTCCCAGCGCTTACGCTTTCAAGGCTGGCACGCGTTGGGCGTTGATGTAAGAACGCAGTCTTTGCAAAGCGTTTGCTTCAGTGGCTTGCTTCAAATGAAGGAAGTTTGGGCTCCAAAGAGGTTACTTGTAATGAGATCTGTTCAAGCTTGCTGCAGTGCTAGATTACATCACAAGCTAGACACATTGCATAGTGCCAGTACGGAGCCCACCAGGCCGGCTGTCGGTTGCCTTTGCGTGGCTCGCATGCCGTTCGCGGCTTCGATTGAAAACTTCTATACTTCTAGTAGAGACATGTGCCCCAGCGAGCCCTGTGGCAAGGCCGAACATGCTACGTTTCTCCACTTTGCTTCTGCCGGGAGTCGGTGTGCAAGGCCACACTCCAACCCTCTTCTTTTTATGGCTTGCATGCTTTGAAAAACTTTGCTCGCCAGCCTCTCGTGTCGTTGCCCAGAGCGGCCCGGGGCATTCCCCGTGAACTGAGAGCCTTCGTTGATTCCCCGCGACGGAGATGCCGCAAGCGGGTGCGAAGGTCCTTGCAGCTTGACCAGATTTTCAGCCTGGAACCCGACGGCAAGAGTCCTTCAGCCTGGAACCCGACGGTTTCAAGCATCACTTGCTTAATTTGTTCTTCGAGTCGGAGCGCTCTTTCGCTCCGCTTGCAGCTGAGCAGTGAGGAGTTCATGCTTAACGAAGCTGATGTTGCCAGCACAGGAGCTGGCGCAGTTGCTTTAGACTCACTTGCGCTTGGAGCGATTCGGCTGCAGGAGCGGGCACGTTCTATACTTCTAGTAGAGACATGTGCCCCAGCGAGCCCTGTGGCAAGGCCGAACATGCTACGTTTCTCCACTTTGCTTCTGCCGGGAGTCGGTGTGCAAGGCCACACTCCAACCCTCTTCTTTTCATGGCTTGCATGCTTTGAAAAACTTTGCTCGCCAGCCTCTCGTGTCGTTGCCCAGAGCGGCCCGGGGCATTCCCCGTGAACTGAGAGCCTTCGTTGATTCCCCGCGACGGAGATGCCGCAAGCGGGTGCGAAGGTCCTTGCAGCTTGACCAGATTTTCAGCCTGGAACCCGACGGCAAGAGTCCTTCAGCCTGGAACCCGACGGTTTCAAGCATCACTTGCTTAATTTGTTCTTCGAGTCGGAGCGCTCTTTCGCTCCGCTTGCAGCTGAGCAGTGAGGAGTTCATGCTTAACGAAGCTGATGTTGCCAGCACAGGAGCTGGCGCAGTTGCTTTAGACTCACTTGCGCTTGGAGCGATTCGGCTGCAGGAGCGGGCACGTTCTATACTTCTAGTAGAGACATGTGCCCCAGCGAGCCCTGTGGCAAGGCCGAACATGCTACGTTTCTCCACTTTGCTTCTGCCGGGAGTCGGTGTGCAAGGCCACACTCCAACCCTCTTCTTTTCATGGCTTGCATGCTTTGAAAAACTTTGCTCGCCAGCCTCTCGTGTCGTTGCCCAGAGCGGCCCGGGGCATTCCCCGTGAACTGAGAGCCTTCGTTGATTCCCCGCGACGGAGATGCCGCAAGCGGGTGCGAAGGTCCTTGCAGCTTGACCAGATTTTCAGCCTGGAACCCGACGGCAAGAGTCCTTCAGCCTGGAACCCGACGGTTTCAAGCATCACTTGCTTAATTTGTTCTTCGAGTCGGAGCGCTCTTTCGCTCCGCTTGCAGCTGAGCAGTGAGGAGTTCATGCTTAACGAAGCTGATGTTGCCAGCACAGGAGCTGGCGCAGTTGCTTTAGGCGCAGTTGCTAGAGACATGTGCCCCAGCGAGCCCTGTGGCAAGGCCGAACATGCTACGTTTCTCCACTTTGCTTCTGCCGGGAGTCGGTGTGCAAGGCCACACTCCAACCCTCTTCTTTTCATGGCTTGCATGCTTTGAAAAACTTTGCTCGCCAGCCTCTCGTGTCGTTGCCCAGAGCGGCCCGGGGCATTCCCCGTGAACTGAGAGCCTTCGTTGATTCCCCGCGACGGAGATGCCGCAAGCGGGTGCGAAGGTCCTTGCAGCTTGACCAGATTTTCAGCCTGGAACCCGACGGCAGAGAGCTCGTTTTTTCAAGCATCTGCGGCTTAAGAACTTGCAGGCGAGCGTTCATGATCTGAGTTGCCAGCATGGAAGTGCTTTGGACTTGTGCTTAATTTGTCAGGTTCGAGTCTCGCTCTTCAATTAACCCTCCTGAGCGGACAGGCTGTGTCCCAATAAGCCCAAAAACTCATCTAGTAGCGCACATGAGATCTGGGACCCACACCTGGCTTGATGTTGCCACTTTTGCACTCTTTTTAGCGTGACATGACTTCCTTCGCGCGAATAGTTTGGTCTGTTGTTTGCCCGAAGATGCAGGCTGGCTTTGTGATCACATTTTTGGCGGACTTGCGCGGCTTCGGCTTTGAGCAGCATGAGATCTCAGGGTTTAAAAGTAAGTTTCAAACGCCCAAATCTCTGGGTGCCTGGCAATTCGAAACCTGCACTATCAATGAGCAGTTTGAAAAGCCCACAAAGGCAGTTACCGGTCATGCCCAGGGGCATGAGGGACGAGCACCACATCTAAGTGACCAAATGGAGTGGGTGGAATACGTGTCGTTGTCCTGCAGCGAAACACCTTGAAGACTCTGCGGGCCGCTTAGGGTTTAGGGTTTTAAAGTGGTTAACATGTTTTTTGGGGGTGCACCTGAGATCTGCTCAGCCCAACCAAAACGTGGCTGTGACCACAGTTTCTGGGACGCATGAGGCTCAGCACGTAGGTGAAGTAGATCTACACAGTGAACCTTGCACTCAGTGCTTGCAAACCCTACACACGTTGATCTACATACATAGTGTTTGTACTCAGTTTTGTGACAGTGAACTTTGCGACATTCCAACGTTGCCTTGAGCGGGTTTATTCACTATTTGCTTGAGAGGTGTAGGTAGATGCACACACACACAGTGGTAGACAATAAAGGAAGCGCCTGACGCTCATGGTCAGCGCCAAACCTGAGACATGGAGTCCGGTGATAAGCCCAAAAAGGGTCACAAGAAGAGGCTGGCGCAGACATGCAGTTCCCAAAGGGTTGACAGCATCGATCGGTCCAGGACAGCAGGACAGAAAGCCAAGAAGAAGAAGCAGCAGGGCGGGAAGGCCAGTTCAAGCAGCATGCATGACTTCCTTTCACATTTCATTGCAGACCACGCCCTGAATGCAATGCGGCAAAAGCTCGCTGCGCAAGGTAGATAAGCACAACCCGAAGGCTCACACATTTTCAGGTGGAACCCGAAGTGTGCGGCCCCCAGCTTCCCTTGATGTCCTGTCCAGAGCTTTGGCGTGCCATAAGGTGCAAAAGCGTGTCCAGTATACCTTGGAGAGGCAGGCAAAGAAAGAGCAAGCTCCGAAGGTGGAGCAAGAACCCGGAGGTGCACCCAAATCAAAGTGGCTGTGCGTGCGATTTGAAAGCCGTGAGGTTCCGCCACCATTCATTGTGGTGATCCAGGGTCCTCCAGGCAAAGACCAGGCTCCGGAGCATGCAACATCTGGATGCTTCAGGCGTGGGTAAGACAACCCTCATCCAGTCCTTGGTGAAACACTATGCCAAGTCGCAGCCCTCAGCTGCATGATTCTGGTGAAGCTATTTTCTTTGGCCAAGGCAGCGCTTGATTCAGATGCGTGGGCCGGCTCCAAGCTGAGCTCTTCGATTGAAGACGCATCGACTCATTTGACAGAAAGGTCACTCTGGTGAGTGGGCGCCATCGACGCATTACCATAGTGGAATGTCCGCAGGCAGGCTCAGATTCTCACGTCGCCTTTGCGATTCTCTTAGCGCCCAGGAGATGTCAGCCATGTTGGACTTGGCCAAAATTGCCGACCTGGCGCACGCCTCAAGCTGTACCCTTGTACCCTACGTGCCGTTGTTTCCAATCGGATCAAGTCCAGGTGTTGCTCCTCGTCGATGCATCCTATGGCTTTGAGCTCGAGACCTTCGAGTTCATCAATATACTGCAGGTGTGTTGCTCTCAGACTGCGAGGCAAAGGCGTTTCGGGAGGTAAAATCATTTTCGCTCAGGCACGGCTTCCCTCGCGCCGAGCACCAAGATGTAGATCGAGGCAATGTCACTTCTGCTATTTCTTTGTTTTTGTGAAGTGCCCAACCATTGCCCGTGGCATGGGGTCACCTTTTTTTGAATGAACACATCTTGCTGTCTTTCTTTTGTCCACGTTTGACAATTCCTTTCATTGTCACGCTCAGGTCATTGGAGTCCTAACGCATTTGGACTCCTTCAAGGAGAACAAGCAGCTGAGAAAGGCACACCGAAAGCTGCTGTTGGCTTGCTGTATGTTTCGTCGCTCTTCCGTGGAAGCGCAGGTGAAGAAAAGCATGAAGCATCGTTTTTGGCACTTGCCTTAACAACAACAGCATCATTCACATTCGTACAAAGCTACAGCAAAGCTGTGCGTTGTATCCACTGCGTCACGTTGTTTGACAGCAAGCAGACCTTTGCCTCATCTCCAAAGACATCAGAGATGTTGGAGTGGTGTTCATTGCTAGCTGCTTTGCCGAGCTAGACAGTTGGGTCTGCGGTCTGGCAAGGGCAGAGCTGTATGATGGCGCCAAGCTCTTCTACCTGAGTGGGCTGCAGTATGGGCTGCTTGCCTAGAGCTGTTTGCTTCCAGATCTGCCCAAATAAGTCCATCGTTTCAGGCGCTACCACAGAATAGAGATTCAGAATCTTGCCCGCTTCATTGCCGCTGCTTGGGCTGCAAAGGGATGTGCAGAAACCGCGCGGTCGCGTTGCTTTTTGTCGCAGAGTTGAGGTTCAAAAGACTCCGATTCTGTCTTGGAGGCAAAGCCATCCCTACATCTTGGCTCTCCGGCCAAGCCCTTAGCTAAGTCGTTTCGTTTTTTCATGCGACAATGTCCCGAGGTGGGAGGACCAAACGGATCCTACGTTGGCAGAGGCTGCTCCACGGCCAGGGGACCCAGAAGCCTGAGGACTATATGAGATTGTCGCCCCAAGATACTCATGGCATAGACTGGCTAGCAATTGGTTGCCATTGGCTTCTGCTTTGTCAAAATGACAGGGTCAGGTCCGGACATGGACAGCCAGGGCAAAAGCAAAGCTTCATGGATTTGTACCGACCAAATGCAACTCCACGTCACGCATTCCCTTTCAGGCGGCTGGATTTGTACGGGTACGTTGGGCACTCAGAACTCGACAACCTTCGTATCATTTGCTTTAGTAGCCAAGGTTTATGGTGCCAGATTTAGAGAGGGATTCGAGGCAAGGTATGTTCGAGTGTGGCGTTGTGGACACGCCCTCACTGAGCAGCTGGCTTTCATGTTCGACTCATGAGCTGGACTAGGTGCACCTGCCTGGCGTAGGCTCGCGCAAGTTGTCGTCCGTTTCTTAAGGGCGGAGTGAGCGAATCAGGTGATTTCAACATCGCCTCGATCAAGCAGCTCACCGATCCGTGCGCATGAAATCCGTTTGCCATGGACGTTTTGATCAATTGACTGAGTGGCCAGGTGTCCTGCTCCACAGGAGACAGAGGCAGCCCGGAAGAAGGACCTCAACCGAAAGGACGACAAGCCCGGCAGCTCAGCGGGTTGCCGGACTTGCGTAGGAGGCTTTTGGTAGCTGTGGCTCGAGCTTTGCTGGTGCCAAAACGCAAGTTTGTGCAACCGGGGACATGGCCACCCATCCAGTGGAAGAGTCAGCTTTCCTTTTTCATTTTTTTCCCCCTGACCTTTTCCAATGAGGCCCAAGAAGAATAATGCACTGCGGACCCTCGCAGAGCGGCATCGAATCGTGTATGCTCCGGGGTCTGACATCGGCAGCATCACGGTGGACTCCGAGGCTGGCTCACAAGGTCGTGTCAATGCCATAGCCCTTGGGAATGCAGGCTATGTACATCTATGTGCCCGACCAGCAGGCGGGTGAGCATCACTTGGGTGCATATCGTGTTCGGCTTATTTTCCCGTTGGTTAGACGCTGTTCTTCCCCGAGGGAGCATTTTGGTAGAGATGCACTTTCGCACATGCATAGCTCTGCGCAAGTACCACTGGGCGTTCGACTCCGATGAAAAAGGGTTTGCGCACATGTCATCAGATTCCCGCAAGAAGAGAAAGGGGTTTGCGGAAGGGCCAGTGGGATTCTTTTGTGAATGCAACCTGAGAGGCACATCCGCTCAAGAGCGCACGCTCAGCACTGCACATGCCAGCCACACTGGAAAGAAAACTACTTCCAGTGTGGCTGGCATGTGCAGTGCTGAGCGTGTGCTCTTGAGCGGATGTGCCTCTCATGCGAGTCAGACTGGAATCAGGGTGGGTTTAGGGTTGATTTAGGATCGGTTTAAGTTTGGTGTAGAGAAGCTACACTGAAGCCTGGAAAGCATAGCCCAACCTTCAGAATTGCATAGAGCTGCCGTGTTCGACATGGGGCTTTCTGGTCCAGGCGGGCTTCACGCCAAAGGAAAAGGAAGAGTACCGCGCCCAAGAATCGCATGGGCTCAATGGTTGCCTCATGTTGATCCAAGGAACGGCAGCGAGCTCCCGGAAGCCGTGCGGCTTGTGCGCGTGGCGCACTTTGCACACGTTCTTCTCACGCGTTGCTTGACTCTTGGCACGCGAAGCACGGGAGGTACGAGCTTTGCAGTCAGACGCCTCCCTGGACAAGGCCTTTGGATTTCTTTGATGCAACAGTAGCAGCATGTTGGTTGTGCAATGCACGTCATGGCGCACGAGACCCTGCCCAGCTTAGGGACAGTCCGCTTTGCGCCTGGTTGGCAACACGACCGTTCGGATGGACGAGACACAAGGCGGATGGTGTGTCCGGCTGCACGGCTGCATGGCTGCATGGCGTTTCCTGGCCCAGCTGATCTTGGCGCTGTGCGCCGACCAGCTCCTGGCAGTGCCGCGCCCTCAGCCGAGTGTTGGCTCGAGCGTAGTTTCTTGGACTGCAAGTGAACAATTGTGTCATGTGTGGCTGCGTCACGCCCTGCATGTCTGAACAATTTCATGTCGCCGCTTCACCACAGGCTGGCTCAAGACCGCGCCCAGGCTCCGCATTTTGCAGCGAGGCCGCGATGACGGAGGAGAAGCCATCCCTTCCTGCGGACTACGTGGTGCCGAAGGTGTGGGAGCACAAGGACCAAGGCGGCGCCTTCGGGGGCACCAACCGGCCGTACGCTGGCGCCTGGGGCGAGGACAAGCCTTTGCCCAAGGGCGAGCACAAGCTTCAGCTGTACTCCATGGGTACTCCGAACGGTGTGAAGGCCACCATCATGCTGGAAGAGCTCGTGGAGCTCTTTCCCGACTTCGAGTATGATGCTTGGCTCATTCCCATCAACGGCGTTCAGTTCACCTCCGGATTTCAGGGCATCAACCCGAATTCCAAGGTCCCCGCCATGGTGGACCACTCTGAAAAAACCCCTGTCCGTGTCTTTGAATCCGGATCCATTCTCATGTACCTGGCAGATAAGTACGACAAGGACGGGGTCTTCCTGCCTAAGGAGTACCCAGCTCGTGCGGAATGCCAAAGCTGGCTGATGTGGCAGATGGGCAGTGCCCCATTCATCGGCGGAGGTTTCGGACACTTCTTCAACTATGCTCCTATCAAGATTGAGTACGCCATCAATCGGTATGCCATGGAAACCAAGCGACTTCTGGACGTTTTAGACAAGCACCTTGGGGAGGGCAACAAGAAGTACGTGTGTGGCGACCAGTATACCATCGCCGACATGGCGATCTGGCCCTGGATAGGCTGGCTGGTGGATGGGAAGCTGTACAGCGCTGGGGAGTTCCTCAAGGTCGAGGAGTACAAGAACGTGTGTGCTTGGTCCAAGCGAATCGGAGAGCGACCGGCCGTGAAGCGCGGCATCATGGTGAATCGCCCCTGGGGGGAGAAGTCTTCGCAGTTGCACAACCGCCACGCACGCAGTGACTTTGAGACCAAGACCCAGGACAAGCTGGAGGCGGCTTGAGCATGCCTTGCTGCATTTTCGTGGATATCTCCGGGCTTCGCTCTTCTGAGTTGTTTTGCTTTTTTGTTAACCTTGGAATCCTTGGAATTGAAAAGAGTGGAGCCCGGGCTTAATGGGCGCACCCAGTCTGCTGACCTCCGCACCTACAAAAGCAGGGCGGAGGCCGCGCGGAGCATCGGTCGTGCAAAAAAGTCTGTGCCTGTCTCGCGCCTGCGGGACTGGGGCTGGCTATGTAAAAAATGAGGCCTGGGATGTTTCTGGTAGGCTTTGTTTCCCTCAGACGTGCTTGGGCTTGTTGAATTTCAGTGACATGCGCGCACAACTCCGCACAACCTGTGTGACAATCTCTGAGCATGAGGGATGTTTGTTATATAACGCTTTCACAGAACTCGTTCGTTGCCGCACAGGATATAACAGGGCAGTGCGAAAAACAAACACCACACACAGACACACGCACACACAGGTCCCCGCATTCTTCTGCACCTTGACAACTGATGCTGCGAGCTGTTTCGAAGTGGCCCTTTGCACGGATTACATGCTGTTTTACTTCTCGCATAGTCATGCAGGTGATGGAGGGGGTTGGCAGGAAATATGGCTTCATGATAGTCCATTATGTCGCATTCTCTTGCACACTGCTGCGTTGCACTGTTGCTGAACGCAGCTTCATGCCGCTCAAAGTTGGTGCGTTTGTGGCGCACCGTTGCACGTGTAGAGTGTTCTGGATGCCGTTGCATGTCTCATTTCCTGAAGTCTGACAGCCCTTGAGAGCTCCGACCCAGGTGGAGATCTCAGCGCAGGCCAGATCCATGGTGCCAAGAGGGCTGCACAAAGTCGGCCTGCGAGGAAACTGATGGAGCAGAAGAGGAGGAGGAGGAGTCTGAGGTTGACGAGCCCGAGGAGGGCTGCCGCCTTGATGCCCGTCTTGTGTGTTATCAGTGTATTGCAAAATCTGAAGCACTGCCTGGGGTTTCCACCCACCTGTGAGGGTGCATTTGCTACAGCTTGGAATTGCATTGCAGGAGCCAGATTCGGAGTTGCTCGAGCGGGCTCAGCAGCGCTTCAGCCGAGCACCGCGGCTGGCAGACATGGTCCAGCCCTCGAGAGCGAAGCTCCGCAGCTGCAACTCACACTTTGCTCCAGATCTATGGCAACGACTCGAAGCTGGATGAGCAGTTTGGAGGTTCCTCAGGCACGGGATCAGGTTTCACTGCACTGCGGAAACAAATGCACGGTTGGCATCCAAGAAGTGCAGCCTTTCATTTGATCAGTTAAGATTGGTTGTAGTTCTCGAGAACTTGGGGCAAAGGCAGCAACGCACGGCCAAAAGACCTTGGCAAATCCGAGCACGCCGACCACAAAATGGTGCCTTTGTCCTGGCCTTACAGTGTGAGCACTGGCTCGAGGGGATCGGTTTGACCAGGTAAGCTAGTCAATGTTTGGAAGAGCTTTGGGAACGTTTGGTGACGCCTTGCTGCCAACTTTGGTATGGGTGTTCTCAAAATACGGCCCAGCATGGCAAGGGGTCCTTTTGTTTCCCTTTGACCAACCCAAGGGGGTCCACCATTTGAGCTGCGTGCATCAGCACATATGCTGTGCAAGATGAGCTGAGTTCAGGGTCAAAGATTGGATGTGAGGCAGGAGTAGGCGACATTCCTAGGTTCGAGGACGACGAGGAGGATGCAGACGAAACGTCAAGGCGTTGCTAGCAGTGCATGATATGGTGGCTGAGCTGTTGACTGACAGGCTGCAGTCAGGTGCAGAGCCAGCATCCTAGCTGCAGGAAGAATGTCCTGCCTTACGCGCAAGCGCAACTGAGGCCGGGACTGTTAGGGAACCTTGGCGATTTGGACGGCTTGGACACCCTGCGGATGCCAAAACTGCCAGAAGAGGCTTGCATACAATATGCGAAGAACGCTGCCCAGCGCACGCTTCAAGGACACAGCCTGGGATGAGCAGCGAAAAGAAGCCTTGAAGGCCATTGGAAGGGGTGCTTGACAAGCACTCACAGCTCGTGCAAGGCAAGGAAGTTTATCACTGGCAGCGTGCCTAAATCGATTCGGGAGAGTATGGGCATATATACTGGTTGCGAGTGCGTGACGATTTTTCCATGCGAGGTGGCTGGAGTTCTGCGGAGGAGGATGATGAAGCAGAGGATCGGGGGCGGCTTCCTGGAAGTATACCAACTTCCTTTCTTTAGCATGCAAAACTAAGTTTCGGCATCTTGACTCAGACTGCATGGTGCGAGAATCGCAAGAGTGGGCCGATAGGAGAAGGCACCTGAAACAAAGGTTGAAGGGGCCGAAGGGGCAGAAGCACAAGGGGAGGCAGGGCATGCTTTGGCAGCTAGTCATTGCCAAAGTGCCACATTGGAACAGGAGAAGAAGGAAGCAGAGCAGGGGGAGACTGCACTTCCAGATGTGTTTTCCGACAGTGCCGCTGCCCTGCTTTGGCTCTTTTGGATGAGCTTCTCGCTGCTCAGATGCATTCAACGACATGCCTCGCATTGCAGGCTTCCCCATTGGAGCCTTCGTTCGAATACGACTCGAGGAGATGACTGGATTCCAGCAAATTTCCGTGAAGCAGAAAACAAATCCACATGTCCACCTCCGTGTTGTTTCTTCTAGGGCGCGCTAGTTGCACCAGCCCGAGCTTTCACTTGTGTTGCCTGTTTCACTTCTCATCTTGTGCCAGGACGTACCAGCTGCTTGCGTTGCGGAGCTGCGGCGCGAGAAGCGACCGCCTTATTCGTCGGGCTCCAAAACCCCACGTGAGATCAGAGCATCAGTCTGATAGGCCGGTGATCCTTGGCGGCTTGCTATCCGGTGAGTCACGTATGGGTCTGGTTTTGCCCTCAGCGAGAGCGCATGGAGAATGAATTTGGCATCCTGAAACATTGATTTCTGGTGTTCAAGGTTCAGACTCGGGTCAAGAGGCACCGCTGGCATCCAAAGCTGCTGAAGAGCTCTGATGCCTTGTTACTCTCTGTGGGATGGCGCCGCTTTCAGATCCTTGGCAATGGACCATGGATATGATCCTTGGTCCTAGGACAGGGACAAGTCCAACTCAAGTCCAGGATACGTCAACCATTGATCCACATAATTGGCTTGGTTTCCAAATAGGTTCCCCAAAGTTCTTCAGTATTTCTCCACAAGTTCCATGGGTTCGCGAGGTCGAAAGCCACGTTGTGTGATTACATGAGCCGAACATACAGGCAAACATACATGTGTTTTGCGCCGAGCGCAATGTCAAGAGATAGCAGAAGGGTAGGCGCAGAGAGGAATCAGAGAATGTGACGTGCAGCCCAGGACCTTGCCTGTGTATTCCATAGAAGACAGAGGTGAGAAGCGCCACATGCTCAGATTTGCGAAAGCAATCAGCAAAGCAGGAAAGCATGGAGTGCAGCAGTTTTCAGAACGGCTGTGTTCATGTGCTCATGCGCAAAGCTTTGCATCCTATGTCTTGCAGGCATGCGCTACCTGAAGTACACCCTGGAACACGCGCATTGCACAATGACAAGCAGGTGACTCAAGCCTTTCTGGAGAGGCAGAGGCTAGCGGCTAGAGGCTCGAGCTTGTTGTGTTCTAGGCTACGGCCCCATGGTGCCGCCGAACACTGGCGTGCTAGCCTTCAGGCAAGAGCCATGGGCCATGGCAGCTGTGGCAGCTGTGGCAGCTGTGGCAGATGGTTTTACCCGCAGGAGCTGGGAAAAGGTGGGCCATTTTCGAGTCTGCGCCACGGGGGTGGCCGGACTCCTGGACTTCGACACTGGGAATCGAGAGGTCGGGCTGACTCGCTGACTCCATGAGCTGAGGTGCTGGAGGCGGCGCCGAACTTCGACGTGAAGAAGAAGTTGAAGCTTGTCGGAGAGTCGCAGCCTTTCAGCCGGCTCTCCGGGGTTCTGCGCTCAGAATCTTCGTTGTCGCAAGGCCTTACAAGATCTTCCGAAACACCGCCTTCATCAAGAACATGTTCAGTTCGGATCTGGAGGTGGCCAATTCCAGTCAGTATTTTCAACTAGCTGCACGTTTGGAGCAGAGGTCAACAAGTACATGCACGCAAAGATCCAGACGGTCAGCGGGATCCGCGGAGAAATCAAAAAGGCACCTTCACCGGCATGCCGTTTCGTCTTTGCTGCGTTTGTTCAGGATCTTGATTCCTGTTCCGGACCTGTCGCACTTCAAACAAAAGCAGGGGCAAAAAAAAAAAAAAAAAAAAAAAAAAAAAACGGTATGTCGGGCAGGGAAGCCACATATCTCATGGCGGCAGCGGCAACTGGGAGTGATTTGATCGGAGGCCGAAGGAGTCAAAGGTCAGTTCAGGGCATCCTTCGAGGACGCAGTGCGCAGCGCGCATGCGGCGATTTCGGCTGTACTGATGTGGGGGAATCCGTTCAATCTCCACGAGAAATGGTGTGTGTGTGTGTGGTGAAGGATCGGATTCTGATGTCTGACCTTGTGGTGTGCAAGTCCAGCACTTAGCTGCAGGTTTGGGTGGAACGTCTACACATTGTACATGCACCAAGTTGGATGCAATAGCTAATGGTTGCTTTCCGGACAAGCACACTGCCTTCTTATACTTGGTACTGCAGGTGTTGGATCACTGTACCTTTCAAGCAGTGCTACCGCATGTTTACCGTATCATTTGACCTGCAAATGTGGCTTTCTTTGTGCGCGCATTATTGACATCGCCAGGTTTTATCATCCGGTTATGGATGTGCCAAATTGGCGTCCCGCGCGGTTGATCGGAGAGCTGCGAGCTTCAGAAGGCCGGGTACCTTCTGGAAGACAGAAGCTTCGCCTGCTTCGCCCGCGCAAGGAATCCCAGTCCCTGACAACAAGGACAGCCCCAGCCTGAATAATGCATGCGCCAAGCACAGCGTGATACTTTTTGTTGGTTCTCGTTTGCATTGCACTTGCCGAGGTCGCTATGGCAAGCAGTTCGTGAGACCAGAGCGGAAGTTCAACAAAGTCAAAGTACCGAAGAGTCTGGAGGCCAGGAACTTTGCGCATGAGCTGGATGATGATCATGACGCCGCTGCTCTACGCCGTTTTGTTTTGTGTTTCAGTGCGACGGAACCATGTTTTCCGCTTTGAAGGCATCCTTGCCGTTCAGCGCCAAGAAGAAGTTCACCCCGAAGAAGAAGAAGACCGAGCTCTCCCAGAAAGCGGCAATTGCCAGAGACCCGCAGTGTTCAGCATTAGCAATTTCTAGGGCTTCTGTGCATACAGTTAGGCTACACGATCTACAACTCACGCTTACGATGATCCTTGAAGCAGAGGGCAGCAAATGGTTAGACCTATATCAAGGTCTCCAGTGGACGAGAAAAAGAAGTGAACAATCTTCTCCTGAGGCGGGTGGGGTTCAGACCGCTGGGGCGTGTTGCCAGTCATAGCTCCACCCAGGCTGCACACCATCAGAAAAGAAAAGTCACGAGTACCGATCATAGGGCAGTCTCTGCACGTGCTCCCATCGGCCGACTGGGAATTGGCCCGAGGTGCGCGCGGAAGCGAGCGAGCGCAAGAAGAAGGTCAAAGAAGTTCGCGATCGCTTCATCCAGGTTGGGGGGGGGGCAAGGGGGGGGCAGCGACGAAGTGAGTGCGGCGCTTGGCTGCGTTTGGAGAAGCCACGGCGCTTTTGCTTTCAGGAGAAGCGTGAGGCTCACAGGAAGGAAGCGAAAAAGAAGCGGTACATCAGCGAGGGACAGTCTGCAGCCCAGACTGCAGAATCTGCGCTCACCTCTATTTGCTTTGAGCGCTTGACGAGGAAAGAGACGAAGAAGAGGAAAGCGATGATGATGGACTGAAGTTCAGAGTGGACTGAAGCCCTGCAAAGCCCGTGAGCTAGCTTATGAACGCCTTGGTCTCTATAGAGTTCTGCCGGATGAAGCGACTTCATCTTCTAGGAGGCAGACTGGAAGCTAACGAGTGCCTGGCCGCTTCCTATGGCTGGCGGGTACAAAACAAGACTTGTTGCTTGCGCACGAATCGATAGTCATATTGGCGTCCAAGCCGTGTAACTGAGAGGGGCCTGCTCTCGCTTGCTGCCGCAGCTCACTTTCAAACGCATACACACAAACAAAAGCAGGCGCACCCACACCGATACCCGCACTCACATCCACCAGCGACACTCTTGCCCACCTACCCGCTTACCCACCCCCGAACTGTTACCCTTACCCACCCACAGAAAACACACCCATCTCCAATACGCACCTACACACATGTGCACAGGTACACACATACACATATGCACTTATACACAGTGCACGTACATCAATACAATCACATGCCAGTAAGATAGACAAGCTAGCATGCAGTGCTATGGCTGCCGTCATATTTTGGTGCGACCAAGGTGGTGAGCAGCTGATAGCATGACATGTGCCCAGACACCTCATTTGTAGGCTGCCAAAATGCTGCTTGTTTCATGGACCTGTGGAGAGGACCGCATGCTGGGGCTGCAACATGTTGGACCAAAGGCTTCTGCACACGAGCAAGTGCTGCTTGCCTTGGCTCTTCAACAAGTCCAACTGAGCGGAGTTCTGACTTGTTTAGGAGGAGTCCCAAGTTCTTGCGGCATTTCCGGGCAGAGAGAGTTGGCGCGATGGTGGGAATAGCCACCTCGCTTGCAAGCAGAAGCGAAAGCAGTGAGGGGCGTGCCTGCTCTTCTCATTCCTGAGTCGTAGATGAGCTGAGGCTCTCCCATATGGCCACGTGCTGCGCCGACGAGGTGATGAACATTTTAGTCGGCAAGTTGTGACCGACCCCTGCAGGTGCACGTCAGATCTTGCGGCCGGCACCCAGCTGTGGTACATGGCATAGTGCAGTTTGGTTGCACAAGGCAAAGCAGCGGGACCCTTTGGAGACGACCAAACTGGGCCAGCTCTGAGGATGAGTCTGATGTGATGCCCTCAGCGATGTGACTGTGAGTTGCGGCGGCATGGCACATCAAGGCCAAGCATGAAATGGCAGTCCGCATTGATGCGCTACGGCGTTTGTGGCTTCGCCATGCTTGTGTCTACGACGTTCGTGGCTTCAGTGTTTTCTTGTGGCTTCATGCATTTTAACAAATGTTGCTCTTGGCGTGCCTGTGGCTGGCTGGGGTTTGAAACGAGACACGGCAGGCAGGAGATGCAGTTGCCTTCGTTACCTCCCAGCCAGCATCCCAGCTTGGTCCCTTCAAGGTTCAAGGAAAGCCTTCCAAGGCGCCAACCTCCGGGTGCTTGGAGCTGCAGTTTCCAAGCATTCCCGGGGGCAGGAGAGCCAGACTTGTTTCTTTTTGGGCTCAGTTTTTTTAGCCTGACAGGAAATGGAGGGCCACTGCGCACCTGAGCAGTTGGAGGTGCGCTAGAGCTTTCAGTGTGTCTTGCTCAGCTCACTTCACTGAAGTTGGTCAGTCCCTGCGCTTTCACTGACTTCGCTTGCAGTTCCTCCGGAGCTTTGTGGCGCAGCACTTCGGCTCGTCGCCTCAAGCTGTTGGCGGCCTCAAGATCTGCCAAATCGGCCGCTCGGATTCGAGGTGCTCATTTGGTCGCATTTGGCGGGTTCGGTCGCCTTCCTCTCAGCCGAGGTTTCAATGCCGGGCACAGCGCTGTGGCCCTGCTGGATCAGGCAAAAAGACTATGTCTGAGAGGGTGCCAGTGAGTCGCTGATCGCTGACTTTGTGCTGGGAGTGCAGGGAATGATCAGAACTTGCCTCGAAGTGGTTTGAAGCTCCAGGCTCCCGAGGGCAGCGTCCTGCTCTCTCTGGATCTTTGTCAGCACGAGTGCCCTCTGCAGAATGCTTGCAGAAGGCTCCGAATCCGCGTGAAGAGCAGAAAGTATGTGCTTCTGGCAGGTACACTCAGCCGTTGGAGAGAGTAGTTGCAGCCCTTGCAGAGGACAGCAAGTTGGTGGCACAGAGGCCTCAGTTTTGGGCCATGATGTTATTTGCCAGGAGCGTGGTCAGACGCACGTGCTCCTGCAGGGTGACTCTGCGGAAATGTTGCCAAGGTCAGCTTCTTATGTCAGAGCAAGAGAAATGAATGTGCCAACTGAGAGGTTTCAGCACATAGAGTTTGACTTGATGTTCATCGACGGGAATCATGCCTACGAGGTGTATCCTTCAGACGATAAGGGACTTCAGTAAGCAAACACGTACGCGCATCACCCTTGTGCTGCCGCCCTGTGTTCTACACTTGCTGACGGCAGGCAGTGAAGCTGGATATGCTGCTTTGTCTTCAAATGGCAACGCCGGACTCGCCGCACAGCGTGCCATGTGGTATTGTTAACATGCTGACTTGTCGCAGCCGCAAGCTCTTCGCAGATTGCTTCCTAGGGGAGGCTTGTGCTAAGTTCTGAGCGTGAGGAGTCTGTGGTTCTTCTGAACCATGTCTTCACCGACATGACAGAGGCCAAGCTGACCTGCTGTCCACGCTGTTGGCATTCCTTGTGGCTTGATCATGATGCGAAGCTTGCTTTCAGGGCGTGGGACCGACCAAAGTTTGGCTTGAGACGCTGCGAGAAGGCTTGGCAGGTTTGCCCGGACGGCCACCGAATCGCGGAGTTCCAGCGAATCTCGCGCAACGCGAGGCGAAGCCGAGCAGCTGGGCTGGCATTCTTGCTGCTCGCGGCATGGTATCGCCATTGCTAGCCGGAAAAAGAGAGATGAGCGTCTCAAAACCGAGGCAGCCTTGTGGTTTGCTTTTGGAGCAAATCCTTCAAGCAAAGCTGTTTGGCTCATCAGTGACTCATCAGCCTCGATTTCAGCTGAAATGGGCAGGGGCGCTCAGAGGTAGAGTTAGATAGGGTACCAGGTTGAAGCAAAGGGCTGGGGGAAGAGGTTCATGGGCTTTGAGGTTAACATGAAAATTGGGGCGACATGTTTCGACACGTTTCGACATGCATTGATATCTCTGGAGGCAGGTCGACCATTCTTTTTTGTGGGGCGGGCTGCAATGAGCCAAGCTTTGAGCCCAGGCCGTTGCGAGGCGATTCTGGGTGCCGCAGGCTCAGACCATCTATGTACATCCATACTACGACTCCGGATCCACTTTGTCAGGGTCCAGAACAGAGTCCAAAACCCACACTTGCTCCCGAATTCAGTTCAAACACCTTCCAAATCTTGCCCAGAGGCTTGTTCCAGACCCTCTCCCCTCCTCTCCCCTCCTCCCCTCTCCCCTCCTCCCCTCTCCCCTCCTCCCCTCTTCCCTCCTCTCCTCCTCCTCCCTCTCCCCTCCTCCCCTCCCCTCCCCTCCCCTCCCCTCCCTCCCCTCCCCTCCCCTTCCCCTCCCCCCGTCCCGTCCCGTCCCCTCCCCTCCCCTCCCCTCCCCTCCCCTCCCCTCGCTCACATAAGTGACTTGTTCCAGACGCTCAGATCACTGCGGAACGTGCCAGGCCATTTTTTCAGCCACACCCATAATATCTCCGTGTTTGTCTCTGTGTCTCTGTGTCTCTGTGTCTCTGTGTCTCTGTGTCTCTGTGTCTGTGTGTCTGTGTGTCTGTGTGTCTGTGTGTCTGTGTGTCTGTGTGTCTGTGTGTCTGTGTGTCTGTGTGTCTGTGTGTCTGTGTGTCTGTGTGTCTGTGTGTCTGTGTGTCTGTGTGTCTGTGTGTCTGTGTGTCTGTGTGTCTGTGTGTCTCTGTGTCTCTGTGTCTCTGTGTCTCTGTGTCTCTGTGTCTCTGTGTCTCTGTGTGTGTCTGTGTGTCTGTGTCTCTGTGTGTCTGTGTGTCTGTGTGTCTGTGTGTCTGTGTGTCTGTGTGTCTGTGTGTCTGTGTGTCTGTGTGTCTGTGTGTCTGTGTGTCTGTGTGTGTGTGTCTGTGTGTCTGTGTGTCTGTGTGTCTGTGTGTCTGTGTGTCTGTGTGTCATTGTGTCTGTGTGTCTGTGTGTCTGTGTGTCATGGTGTCTGTGTGTCTGTGTGTCTGTGTGTCTGTCTGTCTGTGTGTCTGTGTGTCTGTGTGTCTGTGTGTCTGTGTGTCTGTGTGTCGGTGTGTCGGTGTGTCGGTGTGTCCGTGGGTCCGTGGGTCCGTGCGTCCGTGCGTCCGTGCGTCTCCGCGCGTCTCCGCGCGTCTCTGCGCGTCTCCGCGCGTCTCCGCGCGTCTCCGCGCGTCTCCGCGCGTCTCCGCGCGTCTCCGCGCGTCTCCGCGCGTCTCCGCGCGTCTCCGCGCGTCTCCGCGCGTCTCCGCGCGTCTCCGCGCTTCTCCGCGCGTCTCCGCGCTTCTCCGCGCGTCTCCGCGCGTCTCCGCGCGTCTCCGCGCGTCTCCGCGCGTCTCTGCGCGTCTCCGCGCGTCTCTGCGCGTCTCCGCACGTCTCTGCGCGTCTCTGCGCGTCTCTGCGCGTCTCTGCGTGTCTCTGCGTGTCTCTGTGTGTCACTGTGTGTCACTGTGTGTCTCTGTGTGTCTTTGTGTGTCTCTGTGTTTCTCTGTGTGTCTCTGTGTGTCTGTGTGTGTCTCTGTGTGTCTCTGTGTGTCTCTGTCTCTGTGTGTCTCTGCGTGTCTCTGTGTGTCGTGTCTCTGTGTGTCTCTGTGTCGTGTCTCTGTGTGTCTCTCTGTGTCTCTGTGTGTCTCTGTGTGTCTCTGTGTGTCTCTGTGTGTCTCTGTGTGTCTCTGTGTGTCTCGGTGTGTCTCAGGAGTCGAAAAAAGACCCGCTGTATGTGTCAATGTCAGGCATGATCCCAGGTCTTTTGGACCTATCAAATCAGCTGCACCGCCGCTTGTAATTTGAATGGCAGGAGTGTGTTGCAGGAGCGGCCGCGCAAGTCAAACATGGGGCCGCGCAAGTAAAGCGCAAGTGAAGCGCAAGTGACGCAGTGATGATTCATCATCATCATCATCATCATCCGCATGGTCGAAAGAATCCGGAAGATTGCTAAATTTTTGCGCAAGTCGCGCGCAAGTCGCGCGCAAGTCGCGCGCAAGTCGTAGATGCCTTGGATCAGGAGTGGCCCATTTCTGTAGTTTGCATTTTCTTTGTTTCTGCAGATCCCAGCAATGAGTTGCAGCAGCAGCAAGCAGCAGCAGCAGCAGCAGCCAGCAGCAGCAGCCGCAGCAGCAGCAGCCAGCAGCAGCCGCAGCAGCCAGCAGCCAGCAGCCAGCAGCAGCAGCAGCAGCCAGCAGCAGCAGCAGCAGCAGCAGCCAGCAGCAGCAGCAGCAGCAGCCAGCAGCAGCAGCCGCAGCCAGCAGCAGCAGCCAGCAACAATTTGCAGCGGTGTACACACCTGAGACCTCATACTTAAGGGGCATGTTTTTGGGGGACCTCACTCTTAGTTTTAATACGGTGTTTTTTTTCCAGCTCGTGTGTCTTGGTGTGTCTCGGTGTGTCTCGGTGTGTCTCTGTGTCTCTCTGTGCCTCTCTGTGTCTCTCTGTTCTGTCTGTGTCTCTCTGTGTCTCTCTGTGTCTCTCTCTGTCTGTGTCGCTCTGTGTCTGTGTCTCTCTGTGTCTCTCTGTGTCTCTCTGTGTCTCTCTGTGTCTCTCTGTGTCTCTCTGTGTCTCTCTGTGTCTCTCTGTGTCTCTCTGTGTCTGTGTGTGTGTCGCTCTGTGTCTGTGTCTGTGTCTCTCTGTGTCTGTGTCTGTGTCTGTGTCCGTGTCTGTGTCTGTGTCTGTGTCTGTGTCTGTGTCTGTGTCTGCGCGTGCCCGTGCGTTTGCGTGTGTGTGTGTGTGTCTGTGTCTGTGTCTGTGTCTGCGCGTGTGTGCAGTACAAACCACCTGCAGAACCAGGTTTGTCAAAATCCGTGGAATTCATTCACGCCAGCAGTGAACGGGTTTGCGGCGGTTGCCCCAGACCAGGTGGCTTTCAGCTACGTTTGTCGTGAACGGCGTTACTGACCTATCGGTTCACAGCGGACATCAGTGGACGCATTCGCCTGACGCACAGAGGTTTGCGGCGGTTGCCCCAGACCAAGAAGCTTTCAGCTACGTTCGTGTATGCACCCCGATTTGTCAAATCCGTGCAATTCGTGCATGCCGGCAGGGGGCAGCCGGAAGAGTATGTGGGCGGCTGCCAACGAAGACCCCACATACTTTTCGTGAAACGTACCTGCCTGAGAGCTGCTCCTGGGTCCCGTCGCGGGCAGCTGGAGGGCTCACCCCTAACAATCGCCCTTAAGGCCACTGACTTTGCACGGTTCAGTGCTAACTTGCAACATTTCATCTCATGTTTACGTGTTTGAACGTTTGGTGTTTGACTGCCGACGTGGCATTCCCAGTGTGTCTGGCTGTGCTTTCTGTCAAAGTGCGCAGTCCTAGCAGCTTGCCTGCTAGAGAACCCTGTTTATCTCACTAGACAAGAGCCGTTGATATGGTGGAGCCTTTCTGGCACGTTTACACGGGAACGATCGCTGTTTACAACGTATGGTCGTGGCCTACTTGACAGGCCAGTTTACCCCATCATTACTGCATCTCATCCTGCCTGCGTTGCAGGCACTCATCTGGAATCATTCCTTTCGGTTTACAACGAAAAGTTTACAACGAAAAGTTTACAACGAATGACTTTCGACGAACAGCTCCTACGGACGAATCAATTAGCCAATAAGTGCACGAGAGTTTGAGCCTCACCAAGGCCCTCCATGACTCTGACCTGATTTCAGATCCGCAGCTATTTGGCTCCCTGTACGAACCATATACAAGGTTTGCTACCGCTGTGCAATTCGACATGTCGCACTACTCGTTCCATTTCTACGGAAACATGGAACCGATGCACCACTCGCATCCAGTGCCTCCGCCTCGTCCTAATTCGGGGACTATCCGCATGCATGTCCTGCCGGATGCTAATCCGACTGACCCCCAGCCTGCCCGAGCGGTCACCTTGACCCCAGCTTCCCAGCGACAGAAGTCGAGATCCCGAAGATCGAGATCTCGACAGCGCAGGCACCGCAGGCGGACACCACGCAGGTCCCGCTCCCGATCCAGAGGTCGCAAGACCCACAGAGACTGTCGCAGACGACCCGAGCGCACTAATTCGGAAGTCCGTCTGGATCCCCGCTGGAGCCAAGATAGACCCGCAGGACCACCCGGAAATGTTTCACTGTTTCCTCGCCCTCCGATGTCGGATCCCTACGATCCCACGCCGAGCCGGCCAAGTCAGCCGAGTCAGCCGAGCCAGCAGAGTCAGCCCGCACCGCAGAATCCCCGAACAGGGGACACGCATCGTTACCACCTGGTGCAACCTTGGCCACCTGTACAGCCTAGTCCGGCAACTTTCGGACAAGTTGCACCACCTGTGATTCCTGCTCCGCTCGCTTCGCACGCGCAGTCCTCAGCGGCCTTGAACTTTTCAAGCAGCTGCCCTGCACCGCCGATGCCAGGACCGCATTACGAAGCTCCTCCGCCTCTGCCTCCGCCTGGTCTGGGTGTATCACCCTATCAGCAGACTCCGTGGCCGCCAATGTGCAGTCACCGCCCACCTCCTGTACCATGTCCGAGAATTCAGCCCGGTCCGCCGCCTCGAACACCTCCGCCCGTGCATGCAAATTCGAGACCAGCGGAGCCTGCGCACCCGCCGGCACGACCAACACGCCAGACATCTGGCAATCCAGACTCTCGAGGCCCGCATGGACCGTGTCAGGCAGTCCCCAATTTGATGGATGCCCGGGCTGAAACGCCGCCTCCCTACCCCGGAGCAGCTGCCTCTCCACGCACGGTCTCTCTCGCGCTTGCTCCTCCGGCCAGTGTACAGGCGACAGCATCTCAGGATCAGCATCCTCGAGATGACACTCCGTCCAATAGCCGCCTCCGTAAGACATCGGCCAACGATGCTTCAGGAGGACGCACCGATGCTTTGACAACAAGTACAGCCCTCGCCAAGTTGACCACCCGAGACTTGTACAGCGCCTTAGAGGAGCAAACCCGGGGGTCCGAATTTCGGATTCCACCTCCGCATCAAACTGCGACAGCTGCAGGCCGCACCGAATGGCTCCAGCCAGAGGTGGCCCTCACTCGCTTTTGCGCCGCTCCGCCATTTGTCGAATGTTTAAATTGGGTGATGTGTCATTTGGACTTCACCCTTACGGAGTTCCCGCAGTCCCCCGCGGTCATGCAGAATTTAGTGATCGCACTGACCGCCAGCGGTATTGATTACCAACGCCGCATCCGCACACCAATTCCTGCTTGGATTGATTCCGAAGAGACCATCATTTGGAGACTGTCATTCAGTGACATGCCAGGTCCTGTGTCCATTCAAGCCACGGGCGACACTCACGTTCGCTGGTACCATGGCACCACCCTTTTGTCGGCTATCGGAATTTTGAAAACGGGCAAAGTCATGAGGAGCACACGTGAAGGACTCAACATGCCTGACACTCATGACTGCTATGGCTTTTTTGCGAGGGCCCACCTTGCGGGCGGTACCGCGGCCGAATTGGCTGCATTTGCTGGGCAATGCGCATATCATACCAAGAACGCGAGCGGCCTAGTTTTCTCTGGCGGGTGCCGAGGGAAATCCACTAAGCCCACGTCTGCGGACACGTGGCGGGAACAAGAACTCGCACGAAGGTACGAGATTGTCCACTCCGCTAGTAAAGACAAGCGATGGTGTATTAGGGAGTCGGCAGCTTGCTTGACAGATTTATTTGTCGTTACAGTAAAGGAGGATCAGCAGTGGGGATCCTGGGGACAGGCGACAGGCCCCGAAATGCTGAACATCCTCGCCGGGTGAGGGCCCACTTGTTAAATCTGTTATTCCCAATCAAGGTGCGGTTTTGAGTGCGAATCCGGCTCAGACAAGTCTCACCCCACTTGACTTCGCATCTCGAAAAAAGTCCGCTTCTCAACCGTGCATTGTCATTACCTTTTGATGACCTTTCTCGCATTGCCTCTGGGACCGAATTGAACACTGCTTGATCCCTTGCAGCTGTTTTGATTCCCCCGGAACGGCCCGTTGTTGATTGCCCCAATGAGCTGGAGTAAGCCCGTCTCGTCTGACAAGTCTTGGGACCACCGCTCGTGGAAGTCCCGCACTACATGGCAAGACGATCAATGGAATTCTTCTTCGTGGAACCCTGGTTGGCAGGATGCCAGTCAACCTGTTTCATCGGGAAAATGGCCCAACAAGTCATGGCAGGATTCTTGGGAACACAAGCCTTCGCCCGACTCCCACGGCCCAGCCACCCCGGATAAGAGGACTCCCATGCGGAACCCCGACCTTAAGTACAGCCCCTCGGGAAAGCCCAGCGGCGCTCCTACCAGTTTTCCGGGTTCGTGGACCACGGACGCCCACCATCATGACACCAAGCCGATATTTGGGCGCACCCTCCCCAACAAAGTGGTGGAAACGGCGTGGAGCCGCCGCAACAACCTTGCTGGTTTGGACCCCTTGCAGGTTCCAGTGTCCCTCTTATGCTATAAAGGCATCGAGAACGTGTCATTGCGTTGGCTCGCAGCCGGCGACTTTGTGTCGGTCATATTTGGCAGATCGATCAAGGAAACCGTTTTATGCGAAAAGCTGATGCAAGAACTTCGATCCCTTGGCATGGATATTGACACCCTCGCCCAGAACCTTTGGCAGAACTCCCATCCCACGCAGGCCCTTGCCCTCAATTCCCAAGAGGCCCGCGCCGAGCTGTTGGCCTTCGTTGCCAAAGAATTGGTCGCCCCCCTACGCAGTCAAGTGACCACTGATCTCATCAAGGCCCAGGAAACCATCAAGAAGTTGGAAATGCAGATTGCTTCTACTGAAGCCGGTAAGGATGCGCCCAACTCATTACCTGTGGCGGCCCCCCCCAGCAAGAAGCGTAGAACTGTTGAGGGTGCCCCTGCGGCGGTTGTCTCCGACCTTGATGGTTTTGACTCCCAACGTCCGTTCCACATGGACTATGTTGTGGCAAACCGCACATTGCACCAGTCGGCCCCCAATGGTCACACCCCCGCGGTCGTCACCAAGTGGCTTAAGAACCTACGCCTTCCGGATGGTGTCGCCTCGGCGTTCAAAGATGCCATGACCTGCTCTGCCGATTCCGCCAAGGATTTAAGCCCGGAACAGAGGTCAAACCTCAAAGACCGCGCCGCGGAATTCGGATTGCCGGTATCCCGTGCAGTGAACATGAAGGATCATGAGCTGTATCGCTGCATTTTGGTGGCATACGCTCTAACCTTCGCTTGACGCGAACCATCGGGTTCTGCAGTGATGAGCGCCAACATGCCTTTGGTTATTTTGCTTTTCTCCCTAGATGTTGACTTCTGGATGGACGAAAACAGTGCGAGCCTTGAACCGTTTTGTTCATTTGCACTTTTGTTGTTCGCACTCTTTGAGTTGCACGCGCAACATGGTTTCTCACACGGTGCTTAGCCATGGTAGCTCACAGGTTCGTCGCCCTCTTCGTGTACAGACCGCGATGGATCCCCTGCGCATATTCGACACACACTCCGACATGCTGACCGACATTTTCACACAGATTTCCAAACTAGCTCCCGAAGACTTGCGTGTTTCACAACCTATTCCGACCGCCAAGTTAATACATCTGAGACGGGTTTGCTGCAACTCTGCCAGCAGCTCAGCCTAATTCGAGACGCCGCCTCCGCAAACATTGCCGTGCTGGACCAAATGTTTTAACAACCCGTTCTCGAGATGAACCCTCGCTGAAATTCGATCAGCCCTCGCCCAAATTCGAAGAGCCCGATCTGCCCACTGTGGCATCCGCAGTACAAACCACCTGCAGAACCAGGTTTGTCAAAATCCGTGGAATTCATGCACGCCAGCAGTGAACGGGTTTGCGGCGGTTGCCCCAGACCAGGTGGCTTTCAGCTACGTTTGTCGTGAACGGCGTTACTGACCTATCGGTTCACAGCGGACATCAGTGGACGCATTCGCCTGACGCACAGAGGTTTGCGGCGGTTGCCCCAGACCAAGAAGCTTTCAGCTACGTTCGTGTATGTACCCCGATTTGTCAAATCCGTGCAATTCGTGCATGCCGGCAGGGGGCAGCCGGAAGAGTATGTGGGCGGCTGCCAACGAAGACCCCACATACTTTTCGTGAAACGTACCTGCCTGAGAGCTGCTCCTGGGTCCCGTCGCGGGCAGCTGGAGGGCTCACCCCTAACAATCGCCCTTAAGGCCACTGACTTTGCACGGTTCAGTGCTAACTTGCAACATTTCATCTCATGTTTACGTGTTTGAACGTTTGGTGTTTGACTGCCGACGTGGCATTCCCAGTGTGTGTGTGTGAGTGTGTTCTTTTCCTGCTTAGGTTTCAATCGGCGCTGGGCAGGAAGAGATCAGGAAGGCCTTCCTGCAAGGTGCCAGGCGGGCAAAGAAGGTCACGTGTGCCATATATGTGTGTAACCGATGCCCTAACCCCTGCATCGCCAAGAGCAGTGACCCTTGAGGCGTTGTCACCCGGACAAGGTCTCTGACGAGGAATGGGGAGGTTCAGCACGGGCTCAAGTTTTCCATCAGTCATAGCCAGAGTTGGTCATGAATCCGTGTTTACCCCCATAGATATGTGGCGAGAAGAGATGTTTTGAACCTTAGATTGTCAGTGAGCTTCTTGAAACGCGCTTGAGATGATTTTCGAGCGAGGGGTTCCATCACTTGAGGAGCGCGATTTCGTCGGGCCCTCGTGTGGACAGGCTTCTGGCGCGGCAACTGCTACTTGTTGTTCTACATTTGGATCGCCAACATGCAAGCTGGGTTCAAAACCAGCCAACATGTGCAAACGAGCGTGCGGCAACCCCCCGCTCTCCTCGCAAGGCAAGGATCAGGGGGGGGTTGCAAACAAGGCAACGTTTGCGGAGCTTGGCTCCCCCGCTCGCAATGTCACTTGCGCCTCTTGGATTGTGTTTTCTCTTGTTTTCTTCTGCAGATCCCCTACTTCCAGTAGACTCAAAGTTTATTCTGGCCAAGCAAATGAATGGGTAGGTGTTGATTCCCGACCGTCATGTCGATTGAATGTCAGCCAGGGTTCCAGCGAATGCGCACCCCCGCGCGAGCTGGGTGGGGGGCTGTGCAACAGTGCCGGATCATCTCATCCTGGTCTCCGGGAAGCTGGATTCCTGCGCAAACGATTCGGAGTAACACTGAGCTTGTACATAAACCAGCAATTCATTTGCGAGCAAATAACAAATGTAAACGCTTTGCGCCAGATTCTTGTGGTTGGTTTCGAAGTGTGTTTTGGTTTGCCTTGAAGTGCAGTGTTTTCAGAGTGAGTGAGTCGGCGCCGAAATGCGTGAGCTCGTTCGGGCAAAGGGACAGCTGGTGACTGGGCTGCAACCCTGAAACAGCAGGGTAGCAGGGTGGGGCTTTGGGGTTGGGGTTGGGGCTGGAGGCGACTCGGGCTAGGGCTGGTAGGCGTGGGTGGTCGCTTCGCACTTATACAGCCTTCTTAAAGAAGGGTGTCGTTACTAAGTAGAGCCGGCGGCCGTCCACTCTGGTTGCCTTTGCTTGGAAGATCCCACGCGTTGTCCTCATTGCATCGTCTTGGAAACCTGCTGACGTGTCGAGCTATCTACTTGTCAAGCTGGCTATTCGCTATTTGCTTGTATTTGTTGGGCTCTGTGTTTTTCAGGTTGTCCACCTGTCTAACTTACTCCCTTTTAGTCCAAATATCTGGCAAGTTAGGCTCCTGTTAAGCTAGCTGTTTGTCAGACTATCTGTTTGCTCAGCTATCTACCAGTCTATCCATGAAGCTACCTGTCAAGCTACTTGTCACTACTTGTCTGAATCCGATTGAGTCGCTTCTTGACGGGCAGAAGGCGGCCAGCTTGACAGAGACATAGCTCGACAAATGGCTGGCTCGACAGACGGGTGTTTCTCTAAGAGTAAAAGTACACACCCCAAAAGTACATACCCGAAAATAATGGAAACACCTTCTCGGGGTGGGGACGTGTGCTTGCCACTTTCGCTGTTAGCCTATGCCAGGCGCTACTCGTGATGGTTTGTGTCCAGCCCCGGGATGGCAAGAGCAGTCTGGGCAGAACCACGCCCAGGTGATGCCCCAGATTTCTCATTTTGAGACCGGTGCTGAGGAACCTCATGTCGATCAGGGCAAGCCCCAGTTCAATCGTGATCCCGACAAAGAAGATCAACCTCCTAGCCAGAAACAAGGGCGACGCGGCGATGTTCACGATAGCGCGAGGGAGGCGGGAGAATGCAAAGCGCTTTGCCGACAAATCGTTGACAAGGAAGAAGTGGCCGATGAAGCGGAGGTGAGCGACGGCGGTGTATTCACCAACGATGAAGCAACGCAAGACGGAGAGGTCGGTTTCTTCGGCGACGACAAAATGAACCTCAGCTTCAACGCCAGAACAAGGCCGTGTGCGCTGTGTGGATGAGGCACCAGACGCTGGCTACATTGCCGGGTTCATCGCTGCCGCGCTGTGCAATTACTGGCCGCAATTTGAAAGGAACGAGCGCAATGAGAGAAAACAATTTGTCCAACCACATCGGTGACAAGGCGAGATATCATCCTTTTCCATCGCAGGGATGAAGATGGAGTTGTTGCGCCACTGACGAAAGATCAATTCGATGCTGTTTTCAGGGTATACCGATGAGATTGAGTCGCAGCACTGGAATGTTGTTGGTCAACGCATCCTGTGACATCGCTGGACTGATGATGTGGCCCGATGATGAACCTCTAACTGCAAAGGGGGGTGTCGTAAATCACTGGTCGCCGTGTTTATGTTTCCTGGCGTTCTACAGAGCAGGCGGACAGTTCCGTTCTTGCTTTACGAATTTTTCATCCCTGCCTGGCTCAGTGCCGGTGGGCGTTACAAATCAACTGTGTTGCTCCTGCCCATTCACGGAGAGGACTTCCGTGGCCTCGTTAGCACTTACAGGCGCAACGCCTTTCGACAACTTTTTGAGCTTCTTTAGATTAGATCACCCAAACGCGTGTCGCCCGCTGCGACAAGTCCAGCCTCCTGCGCAATTACGATGCTCTCAGGCCAATGCCCGCTTTCTCCAGCTCCGCGCGGCGTATGAGGCGGGCGGTGCGTCGCTTTCCTTCCACGCGCCGTGGTCAAAAGGCCAAAAGGGAAATTCCGTCACCAATCTGCAGACCAGTCAACGCAATGCCACGCGTGGCAGACGGTTGGTCATGTTATGTCCTGTTTTTCAACAGCGTAGGCGGGCAAGTTGGGGCAAGTGGCAGGGCTTTGTCATCTTGCCCGATGGGAATGAGCCGGGCACTCCCGTGCCAGGAGCTTACAGCGGCGACGGCGAAGGCGACAACGTTCGCTGCCCCAGTGAAGGAGATGGGATGAACAACCGCCTGATATCAGCTTTTCAACGTCGTCGTGTCCTTGTTTCTACCCATAGTTGACGATTCGATTTTCGCAATTTGGCACAAGCCGCCTCAACGTAGGCCCGTTGCAGGTGAAGTCAGAATTTCTTTGGCAAAGGGTTCTGTGAACCCAGCCTTCACCTAGATTTGGTTTGCTTCCAAGGCCGCTCAAAACCACAAACAAATGCGCTGCGAACTTGCCGCTCAATCTGGATAAACACCTCAGAGGTGTGTTGCTTAGGTGGGACGAGACAAAGTGGAGCAGGCGGGCCAGTCGCAGTATAATTTTTCCCCCAGACAAGGTGCTGTCGGCTGTTTTTGTGTGTGGAGGCGGGTGATTCGGGCGCATTTTTCAGCATGCGTCTCATGAGGGGGCAGAAAAATGCAGGCATGTGGAAGAAATGGACCGCATGAAGGCGCGGTACGCTGTTGTTCCGGTCGCTGCGGTCGACTGCGCCGAGTTTCCACTGGAGAATGTGTTCTCCCGTTTCTGGACCCGCAAAAGTACGGGATTTAAATGGAACGCAGGGCATGCAGAGAAGGCGAGATAGAGAGACTCTCCCTCTCTCTCGCTCTCTCTCTCTCTCTCTCTCTCTCTCTCTCTCTCTCTCGCCCTCTCTCTCTCTCTCTCTCTCTCTCTCGCCCTCTCTCTCTCTCTCTCTCTCTCTGTCTCTCTCTTTCTCTCGCTCTCTCTTCTCTCTCTCTCTCTCTCTGCAAGGGTTTGGAGTGTGTATATTTTTCTGAGACCTGTTTGTTTTTTTGATCCACTTATTTTTTTGGTTTACCTTGTTTGTTCTTTTTGATCCGGCGCCCCCTCCTTCCCGCCCCCCATCTGAGACTTCCAACCCCCCCCCCACCCGCCCTTCCTTCAACGATAAAATGGCCATGAAGACATTCCCAGGTGTTGCCTTCTTGCGGGAAACCGCCAAGCACTCAAGAAGGTTTATAAACTTTCCTGCAAGTTTATGAACCTTATGTAGGCTTATTGCGTAGCAAATGGATACTGTTGTTTGGGACAAAAGGTTTGCGAAGAACACAACCTGAGCAAATTCTACGAAACACTGCGTTTTGCAGCATTTTGTTGGACCCCTAATCCCTTGAAATGTCCTTTCCATTTTGGAACACCTGAAACCTAGAATCTGGAGATCAGAATCCTGGAAATGTCTAATGTTGGATTCTCCAAGCCTCATAATTTGGAGCCGGGAGTCCTCCAACATGTCCAAAATGTAAATTCCTTTCCAAATAAGACTATACTCTGAATTGCGTTGGAATGTTGAATAGAATTGAGTAACGACATAGTTCACCACAATTCATAATTCATCATAATTTCTATATGTAATCAGAATTTGAATAGGAGTTTCTTTCCAGACAAGGACAATTCAAATTTAAGTAGAGTTGACATATACTACAATGCGGACAGAATGAACGAAGTATTTAAATTAGGATTCCCTTCCCAAATATGACTTAAATTTGAATAGAGCTTAATCCGGAAAGAATCAATTTGGCCTTTGCAACCAAATCTAATAGCGGGCAAATATTCCCAGCCTCCCAAAATTGGTGTGGAGATTTGTTTGGCATGTGCTCAGAGCTTTCATTAGGATATTTTGTGCTTTTGGGTGTGGGCAGGTTGCAGAGCTCAAAGCTGCAAGCAACATCATTTTTTGAATGTTTGTTCCCCGGTGTGCTCAACACCACTATAAAAAAAACTAGTGTAAGCCAGACTCGAATCTGAAAACGGAATCCGTTTTTGCTTTGTTGCCTTTCAAGCTTAAAACAAAACACATTTGATGTCAAATAGAAGGTAAAACAGCCAACATAATACTGCATTTTGCAGTGCCTTCAGGCATTTGCCAGCACGAGGCACGCAGAGTAGAGTTGACACCTTCAACAGAAGAGAGGAAAGGTAGGCTCTGGGGCAGGCGAGTGACCATACATATGGTACAGCGTTGCCACGCCCCCCCCCCCCCCCCGCCCCCCGCACCCCCCCCTCCAATGGTCATGGGTCAGACAAGTACCAACCCCCCCCCCCGGCGTGGTGGTCCTGTGGTTGGGTTGTGCTGGTTTAGCGTTGGTTTAGGGTTGGTTTAGAATTGGTTTAGGGTGTATGTAGGGTGTGTTTATGGTTAGTTTAGGGTTAGTTTAGGGTTGGTTTATGTTGATTTAGGATTGGTTTAGGGTTAGTTTAGGGTTGGTTTATGTTGATTTGGGTTTGGTTGGTTTAGGGTGTATTGAGGGCTAGTTTAGGGTTGGTGTATGTTGATGTAGGGTTGGTTTAGGGTTGGTTTAGGTTGAGAGGTTTACGGTTTAGGGTTTGGTTTAGGGTTTGGTGTAGGGTGTATTTAGGGTTGGTTTAGGGTTAGTGTAGGGTTGGTGTATGGTTGGTTGCGGGTTGGCTTGTCCTGGGTGTGGGGGTGCTGGGGAGTTCAGGGGGTCGGGGTGGGGGTGGGACTGTAGGCGCCAGGATCCGGGGGCTCGGGGTGTCCGGCCGGGGGGGCATACCATCTTGGGGGGGTGGTAGCAACACGGAACACGGTACCATATACATATATATATATATATATACATATGCGTAAATAGGAAGGAGTGGCGAACCCGAAACCGAAATCGGAGAATGGCCGTTTCCCAAGTTCCCGAGCCTGACATGCAGCCCGAGGCCTCGTTCCAGGAGTTCGAGCGACAGCGCGAGCAGTGTGAGAGCCAGCTGCAGCGCTTGCAGCAGGAGAGGGCGCCGTGCCTTGAGATCCTTGAGCCATGAATCCTCCAGCGTACAAGGGAGACCTAAACGAAAGCGCTGCTTCATTTTGGAACTTCTGGTTCAAATAATGTTGGACTAAACGACCAGACCCATCGCATGGCGGAGTGCAGGCCATAAAGAAGAGGATGGTGAAGGAGAAGACTGGGTGGGGTGGGGGCACGAGGTGCATAGCAATGAACTTAGTCTGGCTGCGGTGATATTGGCCTGACTGCGCTAGCTGCATACTGTAATTGCGCTGGAGCCGGTTCGCTTGGCAACCAAACTGCTGCTGCAGAAGGCTGCTAAATCTTTGTCTCCACAGCTGGCAGCTTTTGCAGCATGTTCAGGGGCAGGAAAGTTGGTTGGCAAGTTGGAAAGTTGGAAAGTTCATTGTGTTCATGCGCGCGAAAATCTCGCCGTCCATTCCCACCGCTCGAATTCCCAGTGTCCAGGAGAGGGCGTCGAAGGAGCCTAAGCCGCAGCCTCTGACGAGGCGGGCTCCCACTTTTTCTTCTTTTTTTTCTTCGCCTGGAACCGGTCCAGCGATGCGAACGCGCTCCCTGGCTGAATGCACCAAAACTTCCTGGCCCCCGAAGCGGGGCCCGCCAGGAAGCAACAGAAAAAGCTCCAGAAGCAGGCTGCGGGGATGACGGCCGGCGAGCTGGTGGCTTGAGCTGGAATGGTTGAATTCGCCCCATTTGATCGCAACCATGAGGTGAAGTCTGTCCGGTTTTGTTTGTCCTCCCCCAAATGCTGTTTGAAATTGTGGGTAACTTTGGGGTGGTAGCTTTCAATCTTACATCCTTTGATTGCAGCGCTCCAACTTGAACGGGGCCGTTTCATCTTCGTCGCTGTCAGGCGTCTCCCAGTGTTTCAGTACATGGTTTTTCTTCTGAATTCCTTCAGGGGTGCTCGCGATACAAAAGGGTGCGAAACCTTCAGATTCCCTTTGTCCCATGCTTTGCTTTTTTGCCCGATCGGGTGCTTGTTGGAATGGCAGAGCGGCTGGGCTCATGCTTGGCAGGAGCAGCAGAAAAGGGCGGCCAAGAAACAGCCAGGCTCGGATTTGCTGGCGCAGCCGCAAGGCAAAGCAGAAAATAGAATTGCTATTCTCAGACAGGTGGCTCAATTGAAATTCTCAAGTAACGGGACTGAGGCATTCCTATTCTGAGAAGAAGGTTGGGGTGAGTTTTCATGGGCGCAATCAGTGACTACTTTCGTTATTCTGTGTTGCCTTTTCTGACCTCTAGAGGAAACACACACACAAACGGGGGTTGAGGGTTGAGGAGGTTCAAGCCAAAAAAAAAGAGGTTGGTTGCATTGGAAGGCCCTGTTTTGTTGCAGGTGTTCTTAGCAGCCCGTCGCAGGTGGAACCTGATCAATGGCTTGATAAACCGACTGGGTGTAGGTGTGTGGGTCTCATGTCATCTGAGAAGGCCTTTTGAAAGCCTCATACGCTATGTCCTCAGTTGCCCCACCCCTCAGCTGCCAGACGCTGAGCGCGGAGATTCGCCGGAGGAGCGGCCGCGTGGCGTGTTCGGACATCGCAGAGCCGGGTTGAGGAATCCGCCGGTAACACAAGCAAACTTGAAAGAGAGGGGCTTTGCTTTCCAAGCTGTGCCCGTTTTTGTCGTTCCTTGTTTTCCCCGGCTTGGCTAGCGCAGGCTAATTTTCCCCACGCTTGAGTTCGTAAAAAGGGGCTCCGGGATTAAACCCACCATCCACATTCACCGGGCTATTTGCCGGTGCTACGCAAAAGCGCTCAAGCCCCCATCTTCTGCTTGTAGTTCTCCTGCCGCATTTTTCTCATCGTCCATCCGAGACCTTGTGATGTTGGAGCTGATTCGAGGTGTTGCACCTCTTCCTGATTGCCGTGGGACTCTCGCACGCTGTAGCTGCACCAGCACTCGTCCTTGCACTCCGCCAAGAACCTCATTCTACGCCTTACCCCCAGCAAATCCTGCATTGTTGTCTCGCTCGCTCTCCTCCGACCCACACGAACTCCGCCCTGTGGTCGGCCTTGCATAGATCCCCTTGTTCTGGTCCGACCCACACGCTCTTTGTCTTGCCGTCGGCCTTGCGTAGATCCCCTCGCTCTCGTCCAAAGACCCCTCGGAAGCTGCTGCCACTCAAGCCCCTCAGTCTTGATGTTCCCCAGCTTCCACTTCCGCCCCCATTATCCCAAAGGACTTCAGCTCGTCGATCTACCCTGATGTCCACCTTCTTCTCCTCGGACATCACCCTCATCATCTTCATGGTTCCATACGTCAACACCTTGTCGACCACTTGATGACCATAGCTGCCCCCACAGCCATCAGCAGCACTCCTACCACATATCACTCAGCTCCATCCATGAAGCTCATGGATGCCTTGCCATCCGCGGACATGCCCTTTGCGCTTGCAATGAGGCTCGCGTCAACAGCCACCAGAACACCTAGAATTGGAGGGCAGCCCGATGGGCAGTGCTGCCTAGCGGAAACGGCTGCAGACCTGCTCTGGCCATCCTGGGGTGGGTCCGGTTCATGTTCCCTGGACCTCTTATCTGTGGGCGGTTCATCTCCTGGCGATCTTGTTTTCCCTTTTTCAGGCCCAGTGGCTCTTTTTAGTGACCCATTCAGCATTCCTAACTCCACCATGAAGTTTCCAAAGTCTTGAGCAACTTCGCGAGCCCATCCACCACCAACTGCGCCCCCGGCATGTGCTCCAGGACCCACTCACCCTCCTCCAACGCCCACCTCAGCGCCGATGCCCTTATCCTCAAATGGCGTGTCCGCCAATTTCCAGCTCCATTCGACGCCAGGCTGACGCCATATTGTCACCATACATCCTTTTCTGATGAACTTTCTCTCCAGCAACCACCTCTGCCAATGCCACCAGCGCTCGTCCCCCAGCTCGCCCTCCGCAGTGCTCTGAGCTACAAACGGTTGGCGCACTGACTCCCAGCAAATCGGAGCTCCGTCCACAAAGCCAATGATGCCCTGCACACTCCTGTCCTCACCTCCCGAAGCAAGCGAGATGTCCGTGAATACCTCCACCATGTTGTTCTGCCTCTTCAAACCCTGGCCTTCCCGCGATGCCCGTCCCTTCACCGGACCATAGTTGAGTACTCGCCCAGAAGTTTCCTTCACATACTTCAGCACCTCCTTTCCCATGGTTACCACCGCGACCCCCTTTCTGGTCCACCTCCACATCGCCGCCACTGCCATCGCAATATCAGGCCGCGTCTTCGATGCAAGCCAGAGAAGAGCTCCGGTGAAAAAATAAAAACAACAATACTAATTACTATATTTGATCATTTTACACATTATTCTATTGATTCAAAACAAAAAGATTCTGGTTTATGTTGGTCTGATTTAAATAGTTTAAATACAATTAAAAAACATCATAATTGGAAATTATTTATTATTCAGTCAAATCCTGATGATCTTTCTATTAATAATAATAAATGGGCACACAAATTGTTATATATTATATATATATATATATATATGTTTTTTTGTTTTGATAGGTTTGGTGTAACAAGACAAAAATGGTTTGTTTTGTCTTTTTTTTTTTAAAAAAAAAAATTTTAGTTTTGTTGTTTTTATCTTTTTTTTGTTTTGTTTGTCTTTTTGTAGGTGATTATTTGTGTATGTGATTGTCTGTATAAAAACAGATAGGTTTGTGTCAGTTTGTAAGGAAAAGTGACTGGTTTGTATACAATGAGAGCTGCACCTCCTCTGGGCTACCATCCTTGGTCTCATCATCGGACCTCCGTAGCTTCCTGGATTCCCCACTTTGCCGTCAAGTCCTCCGCAAAGGTCTTCTGGTTCACCAAATATCCCTCTCCCTTCTTGTACACCTCAAAGCCACAAAACCTCATCGGCACTTCCTCGGTTGCCCATTCTGCAGGCGACAGCCTCCAATCTCCTTCATTCATCCTTGCTCTAGCTGCCTCAAGCCTCGAACTGCACCCGTGTTCACCTCCACGATCCGCCACAGGTTCGGCTCTTCTCGTCGTCAACCCGTACACGGCCTTGTCGATGACCCACACTTTGTCTTTGCTCGCGCTCCCCAGCTCCTTGAAGATACCCGCAACCTCCATGACTAGGAACGCAGCGTGGATGTCTGTACAGAGCATGCTCCATTTCCGCTGCCCAGCCGTCCTCGGGACCATCCTGAACTGCAGCCCATCAGCTCCTCCTGCATAGAGCTTCTCCGCATCCTTGCCCGCCGAGAAATTCCCGCAGACCACTCCCCGGACCTTCCTCCTCATCTGGAGACTTCCTCGTGCACACCGCCTTTGCTGGAAGCACCTCCACAGGGCCTGTGATGTCCTCAATGTTTCTCGCAATCGGCTTCACCACCTTCCTCTCCACCAGCGCAGCATACTCCTTCTTCGCCGCCTCCCTCCAGCTCTCCAGTTCACCTCTCACTTCTCCCACGCTGATCGTCTTGGTGGCCAGCCGCACCTCTTTTGCCCTTGCGGCTTCTTCTACCTGCATGCCATTCAGCGCCTCGATGTAGCCCCATCGTGGAAGCCCTTCTCGAAGTGCAAGCCACATCTCTTGATCCTCTCCCGCATCCAGGATCTCCAACTCCTCTTTCCGTCGCATGCTTATGCCATTCTTGAAAGGCAACTTGATCTTCCGCCTTCTCGACGATCATCGTCAACCGCCTTTTTGGGCCTCCCTGCCCGTCAGCAGGTCGGGCTGGGTCGATCACTTCCTCCGGTTCCTGGAGATCCGTGGACCCAATATCCACCCGAGGCGCCGACATCGCCGGGCTCCCTGTCGAGGCGCCAGTGGTACCTCTCATTCTTCGGCTCCTCTTCTTCACGGCGATCGTTCCCCACGGCAATAGTTCTTTTGAAGGCAATCCCACATGCCTCAGAGCCATCGGCCATGAGGTGGCCTCTTCTTCTCCTGCCTTGAGTAGGGTTCTTGTTGCTCTCTTCAGCACCCAATCTCAGCTTCTACCCTCTCATTCTCCTTGAATGCGTCTCCAGGAACCGTAGTCTAAACCATGTTCCTATCCTCCGCCCAGCGCTTCACCTGTGCTGTCTGTAGACCGCGCGTAGATCCTGGCAATTGCTGGGAAGACATCCGAGACCTTTCTCGATGTGATCGGCTCCACGAATGTGAGGTTTGTCACCGCATTCTGAGCCTCCTCAACCAGCTTTTCCCACACATCCCTGATCTCTTTCTCGGCCTCTTTCTCCGGCACTTTGTTTCAGTCGTCTTTCTCTTCCAACATATCTAGCTCTATGTCCCCGAAATCCTCGGGCACCGCAGCCTCATAGTGCTCTTCCAGAAGTGATTTTCTTCCTCGGTTTGTTGGGTAGGTGTAGACCGCTGCCACGAAGTAATTCGCTTGACACCGCTGGTCCTTCCCACTAGCTAGCCGCCCTGACAAGTCCACCGACAACGTGTAAGCCTGTGGATGTTGTATCCGTCGATGAGGTCGGCCTCTGCCTTGACTTTCCACACATGTTCTGCAATCTCGACGGGCTGGCTGATGATCACATTGGAAGTGCCTCTTCCACTGTTCCTTCGCCACCGCACTCAAAGGCCGAAGTGCTCTTTGTTCACCATGCTCTACATCATCCCGCCTCTGCAGTGCCTCTTTGGTGGCCTGCACCAATCCAGACGCGCAAGCAGACCACCGCTTTGTTTTTACGATCCTCTCTGCTAAGACCTTCGACCACTCTTCTCCTCCTTGCCCAGGTCCGGAAATTTCCCCCTGTCCCTGCAGCTCTTCCAGGTTCGTAGCCAACGTCGTAGGCTTCCGTCTCTCATAACCAAGAGGTCCTTGATCCAGATGTATCAACTCCAACGCTTTCCACGCCTGGTCTGCACGCTCACCAAATCCTCCCTCGGCATGTCAACCCTATAATCACCAGGATCCCGAGGTTGTTCCTGTATGTACCCCACCTTCGGCAACTCCTTTTGTCTCGCTGTTTCCTCTGCGACCACATAGATAGTCATCATCCTCAGCCAAAGAATGGAGTCCCCCTCTACCATTTCTCGCTCCTGCTGCGTGAGGTCCAAGAACCCATAGGGATGTTCCTCACTCCGCAACGGTCTTGGTCCCGGCGATCTCGATCTGCACGCTGAAACCGTCCTGCACGGAGGTCCTCCCAGGATCGTCGCCGCCTTTCCGCTCTTGGCCAGCGACAGCAGGTACCCACAGACATCTTCATGGTGTAGGTCCTGTACAAAGTGATTAGCCTTGTCAAGACAAACAATTACCGTGCCGTCCGTTTCCGTCCCGCCTCTTCTTCTTATCTCCAGAGAACAAGTGCAGCTGTATTCTCTTCGCCCGCTCTATTGTCCTCCTTCTTCTTCTTCTTTTCCAGGGCAACTTCTCCAGGTTGTACTCCTGCTGCACCACCAATTATCCAGGATTTGGTCCGGAACGTCCACGTAGAACTCTTTCAACGCCTACTTCCTCATAGGTGGGCTTCTCCGCCATCTCATTTCCATCTGCTCGATCCGAAGCGCGATGCCCTCTTCAACCATTGGACAGCCACCAATCATTTTTACCTCTACCGGGACTCCCATGAACGCAACCTCGCGCTTGCCGTTGCTCCAGTTCACGTAGCCCTCCGTCATGGCGCCCGTCGGAACAATGCGTCCCCTTTTCCGCCAACGTCAGCGTCTCCAGCTTCCTCCACTTGCATTTCTTCGCTCGGCATCCATTCTCAGATATGAAGTGCCGGCAGTTGACCACGTCCTTTTTAGCGGATCCGAATAGCTCCAAATTCCCCCCACCGTTGGCGCGGAGTCCAAACCCAGCTGCGACCTTGCCACCCTGAAGGCTTGAGTTCCACCCCTGTTCACAAGCTGCGTCACCTCCGTCGCCGCCGCGAGCAATGTAGGGTCCGGGAGCGAGGCTCATTTCATTCGCCCGCAGGTAGTATCTCCGCCATTCTCGCAAGGCCGTTGCCGCTTCTGCGACTCCCTTCAGTAGACCTAGGTCCGTGAGTTTCTTCAAGATCAGGGACCCCGCGGAGGTGATTTCCCTCGCCAAGATCAGCTCCTTGCGGATTTCCTCCGGCACTGCCTTCAACAGAAACATGACCCCCCTCTGCTCCGTTCGAAGGAATCTCGGTGTCTTCAGCTGCTCCGGAATGTCCACCGAAATCTTCAGCCGGTCCAGCGTCGACTTCAGCCAGGTCTCGTACAGCTGCTTTGCCTGCTCCATGGTGCCCGTCCACCATTCCGCCGCTCCCTGTAAGAGGTCACTCATTTGCGGCCCCACCAGCGCAAGCCAGTCTCCCAACGTCAGCGGCGAATGGTCGTACATCAGCTCCGACAAATCAACTCTTCCACCCGCACCTCCCGATTCAACCTGTTCCACGACCGACTTGGTAACTGGATCATCCCAACTCCTGTTCCAGTCCCGCCACGGCTGCCATGACTCGCTTTCCACCAATGGTCATAATCCTCGTCTTCCCAACGAGGTTGCCAACCACCATCTTCGGCCCGAGGATGTTCATGAGGTGGATTTCCGGCCGGCATCATTTTCTCCACCAGGCGTCCGCTCCTTACGAGTTGGTGATCTCGATCTCGGAGACATCGCAGGTCGATCCCTCGGAGGGGGAGGCGGTGCCGGCGGAACCATGGGTGTAGCAAAGACCCCTGCCGGCGCAAATACCCCAACTGCTGCTGTAGCCTGGTCCTTCCAGAACACCCCCGCTTGCCATTTCCTCCTTTCTTTCCTCAAATCCTCAATGATCCCGAACAGGTACTTCCGCTGCTGCTCCAATCCTCGTATCTTCCGACATGCCTTCATGAAGTTCTTTTCCGTCTCGTGGGCCAGGTCCATCTCCCCAATAAGCTCATCATCATCTGCCTTTGAGGAAGCTCCGGAACCCACACCTTGTGCTCATCTATCCACAGTCCAGGTTCAAGGGTGTCAGCCTTCCCGACCCAGTCGTCGGTTCCCTTTTCCTTTCATCACCGCCTTGATTCCTTGTCCTTCTGCACGCCTCTTCCCATGGACGCTGATCTCTGACATCTTCATCATCTTCATCTTCTTCCCGTTGAAGATCTACTGTCCCTGAGCGACCTCTGTCCCCCAACCGAGAACCACCATGATCTGGTTGCCGAGCCCCACCAACACCTGGTCGTAGGACTCGATTCCCAGGACGCCCACGTTCTTCATCGAGCCCTGGAACATCTTCCGGTGGTAGTCCTTGCGCATTCCCGGCTCGACCGCCTCCTCCAGGCCGTAGATCTCTTTCCTGCCCTTGTTGATGCCCATCACCAGCTCCTTCATGTGGGCCTCCTCCTTCACCATTCATCATGCCGGCTTGTTCCAATTCCATTTCCAGGTCCCGCTTTACTTCGCTCCAGAGCTCTTCCGTCCCTGTCCTGCTTCCCGCAGCTTCTGGATGTCTACCAATCTCATGATCTTGCCGCGGAAGATCTGTCGCAGGAGCGTCACCAGCACCTGCCCATATGTCCTTCTTGTTCTCGACCTTCTTGGGGCTCACAGTGTCCGGGACCTTCGGCAGACCTTCGGGCCTCGCTGCATTCAGTTTCGCCCCTGCACTGCCCGTGAGCTCCAGAAAGGATTTATGTCTCTGACCTCGACCTCATCATGCATCACGGCCATCCCCGCGTCCATGCTCCTCGATCTTCTTCTCCTCATCCCGGCATCCATGTCCGCGAGGAGAGGCTCTCAGTTTGGGCTCATGGGTTTGCTCAAAGTGTGGTGTGATGCAGGTTGGAATGCTAAGCCCAGGTGGGTCCTCATTTTTGGCCATGGGGTGCCAGATTTTGCGGACTGCTTTGACCAGCAGGAGCAGGAGCCACAAGTGCCGCTACTGCAAGAAGGCGCGCAGCGGTGGGCTCGGGGTTCCTCCCCGTAGGTCTCATGTTAGTTGGCGGGAAGGCATTTTTGGCAAGAGACCTCACGCACTTTTTCAAGCACTGAAGCCTTTACCCACTACGCGGTTCCCAAAAGATTAAAGATGAACAATGCGCCTTGTTCATTCTTACTCCCAGGGCCGTCTTTGATTCAGGAGACTCCACACACCTGTTCAAACGCTGAAGCTTTAACCCACTACGCGCTTCCCAAATGATTAAAGATGAACACTGCGCTGTGTTCATTCTTAATCCCAGGGCCATCTTCGATGGGAAGCAGCATTGAAGAGCGGATTGCGGATTGTGCGGTTTACGGATTATCCATGCGGCTATTTTCGATGCAGATTATGGCTTGCAAGAGGCACGCCAGATTCCGTTCCCTGCTTCTAAAGTACACTGACGAGAGCCTGTAGGTCTGTAGGTCGCCTGCGACGTTGCTCCAGGCAGCCTGTTTGGTGGGTGTGATGTGCTCAAAATGCATTTTAGCAGAGCCGCGGCCCAGCAGGTCGGTGTTTTCGGAGAGATTGTTGTCCATTGCAACTGGGGCACCCAGACACAGATAACGACATGACAAAAGGAGCTTTGCCAGAAGAGGGGGGCTTCATCGTCTCCAGTTTCATCCCTTGACAGGGGATGTGCCTTGTGCACACATTGGCCTGTACTTTCTTCCATGGCTCCCCTGCCGGATCCTCAGTTGCTCACCCCCACCCCTGGCGGCTGACGCCAGGCGCTGAGCGTGGAGATTCGCCGGAGGAGCGGCCGAGTGGTGCGTTCGGACATCCTTGTAGAGCCGGGTTGAGGAACCCGCCGGCAACACAATCAAACCTGTCAGAGAGGGGCTGTGACCGTTTTCGTCGTCTGCCCCATATCGCTGAGCCTAGTTTTGACGCGCGTTGTGGGTTTGTTTAAAGTGTGGCGGGATGCAGGTTGGAATGCTGAGCCCAGGTATATCCTCCTTTTGGGCAATGGGGTGCCAACCGCCCAGCGTACCCCAAGCTTCTTTGACACCTGGAGAAGGTTTGGCCAAATTAAACATCCTAGTTGCGGTGCTGCACATGCTGATCTGGGAGAACCCAGGTAATACACAGCCGCAACCGTAAAATTACTGCGTGCATGCTGGGTTTTTTTTTGAGGGTTTGGACTGCCGGGGTGGACCTCAGAACTTGTCACTCATGTTGAAGTAGATCTGATTGAAGCAGGGGATGCGCTGCGAGATGGTGGAGGCTGCCGGGCAACCCGGCACCGGTCAGTTCTTAGCGCGCCGGCACTAGGAGGCGTCAAGCAGCTTCTGGGCAATCCTTGCGGCTTGCTGCTGCCTGGGTTGGGAGTCCCAGTCAGGCAATCTGGGTAGCTCGTCCAGCACGGCAATAAGTGAGCGATGTAAACTAGGCAGGTCTTGGTCAGGCGCCACACGCACTGCAAGTCTGAAACGCATGTTGAGCGAGGTGAGTAGCTCAATTTTCAACTAAGACAAGTGAGCCCAACAAACCAAGCCAAGTTGACAAGGTGAGGTGAGTCAAAGAACAATCGCTCACATGTTTGCATGGGTACTTTTGAGAAGCCATGCAATGTCTGCCGGGAAGCCTGTGAGCCAGGGTCCTGGTAGTTTTCTGCCAAAGCGAACCAATATTTTTTTGTGCAAAATCAAACAAACAAACTTTTGAGAAAGTAAACAGATGGGGATGTGGAGGAAAGTGAGTCTCACACTGAGCAATGGCAGCTAGCTCATCGCAAGCAACGCTTGAAGTGCACAAAGAGGGATTGTTGGCTTTCTTTTCTTTTGGGACGGCCCCTGTCCACGTCCATGACTTCCTAGATTCTAGACACTTGGCAACTTGTATCTATCAGATTCTCAGAACCACAGCCACCACTCATGCGTGAAGCTGCCCCTCCCCCCTTGCACAATAACTTTTGACAAAGATGCTACTGTGTCATTCGAGCTTCGAGACCGCCTGAGGGAGCTGACATGTGCATCGGACCTTGGGCCAGGATCGTCCTCTTCATGGTTCAGAATTTCGGCACCCTTTTGACGTTGTTTCATTTCTCCGGGCAGCTCAAGGGCCCAAGGGAAACCGACCCTTCTGAGTGCGGCCGTCAAGGTGATCCACAGCGCTTCTCATACGTGCTTCTTTTGACTTGTCGATTCTGTATGTATAGTTGCTTTCAACGTCGATTTGACCCCATGTCGAGACGGTGTTTCTTCGAGGGCACGATGTGAGGCCAATTGTCATGCCTGCCTTTCCGTCAAGTCTCCGGGTGCTGTTGAGCTCTGAGGCTCCGAAGGTAGAGGCTGGGCCGGCCTTTGGAAACCAGATTGCTCAATCTAGTGCGCAAAAAAAGAGCTGAGACGACGCGTAATCACTGAAGTGTACAGTAGCTTTGGGGCGATTCTTTCGTCCTAGGGGGACGCGGTGCCCTCCATGATAAGCTCACCGCCAGTATGCCATGTGCGTACTTGTTATGAAGAGTCAGTGAGTCAGCGGTCAGGAAAACAGTGACCCGCATGCCTTCGTCCGGGCCAAGACCCACGCCTGCCGGGGCTCTGGAAGAGGAAGGAGCGATGGGCAACGACTGCAAAGACACACAGCCGGTGGCTGGGGTGGCTGTTGTTGTCTTGGTTTGTGGTTACAGAGTCTATAATCTCTCTTTCTATTTTTCCTTGTCATCTTCACCAAAGCACAAATGTAGGGTTCAACAAGTTTATGCAGCAAGCCTATGCAGCAAAGCGCTTCAGTTGCTCTTACAGGTGCAAGCTCAAGGCCGGACAAGCGCTCGTAGTCACACGCCCACAACTCTACCAGAGAACGACTGACATGACTGACATGTTCTGACTTTAGTGTGACGTTGCCCCTTGAATCAAGCGCCTTGTAACTTGTAGCGGCTTGGCATCCGCAACCTCGATACAGTTGGGGCCAAAATGCTCAGCCAAAGTGATGCAGTCCATTCACCACTTGCATTGCGAGAAAGGACGTAGTTTTGCTTTTCTACAGCACAGAAGGGATGGCACAGTGTAGTGATATTGAAGTTAGCAGGGCAGCTCAGTGTGTAGTGTGTGTGATTTGAGCTCAGCATGTAGCGCGACATTTCAATGTAAGCAAAGATCAGGATTTAGTGTGGTCTCAGTTTGCCAGCCAGTGGTGCGGGTCTTGCTTGGTTTCCCTAGTTGTACTTAGGTGTCAGGACGATGGTCTTAGATGTGGACCGGCCAGATCCATACAGCTTGCCCCCAATTGTTCTGGGCTTAGCTCAAAAACAGTTACAGACAAATTTCAGGTAGCGATCTGCTGGCCACTATACCATCTTCACTATTTCGGCATGAAGCCACAAACACGTCTATGGGAAAGCGGCAGAAGCAACCTGTTAAGCGGCAGGTTAATCTGCCAAACGGCTTCCTCAACAGAAAGGGGCGGGGCGATCTATGCCTTCTCTACTGGTTGCCCAATAGGTTGACAATTCCGCTATTCATTAGACAATATGTTATGTAAAAGGCAGACATGGCTGGCCGGCAACAGGTGGAAACACAAAATGTCGACAGTTTGGTGCTGGTGGAAAGTGTATTTGATCAAGAACTCGCTTTGCTGTGTGGACCCACTGCGATGTCGGAGTCGTGCAGGAGTCGAGGCAGGCAGTTGGTCGCGGGTAGACAATGTCAAGTGTCGTAAGGCGAAGGCCGTAGCAAGCCGCTACCTTGAGCAATGTGTTGCCTTTGGATCAGGGTATGCAAGTTCCAAAGGTCTCCATGTAGTGTACTTGTTGGACATTGCAGTCAAAGTGAATGCAGTGTGGGGATAGAATGTGCCGTGTCGAGCTCTTTGTCGGTGAGGCCCAAGAATGCTTGTTAATTGAACGTTTACTCCTCGTATTGGGAGTACTTGCGATTGTAGATTCCTCGGAATGGCGGTGTTAGTTTGTACGT